TTCGATTAATTAATTTAAAATAGTATTAAAAGTAGTAATTGAAATTCTTCAATGAGTTTTATTATTTATGAAAATAATTGAATTTTTGTTTAGAATTTTATCAAGTTTTTCTTTACAAATTGAATTTCCATGAAAAATGCTCTTATTAGTGAAAGTAATTAAATTATTGTGAAGAATTGTATAAAAATTTTGTTAAATAATTGATTTTTTCGAAATTTTTTTTTTTTAAACTGCTTTTCTAAATTAATTGAATTCCAGTGGGAATGTTATTATTTATGAAAATAATTGTATTTTTGATGAATTTTATAAATTTTTTTTTAATAATTGAATTCTTTTGCGAAATTTTATGAAAATACTAGATATTGAAAATAATTGAATTTCGAATGTTTTTTTTTTTGAAATAATTGAATTCTTTTGCGAAATTTCATGAAAATACTAGATATTGAAAATAATTGAATTTCGAATATTTTTTTGAAAATAATTGAATAATTTTAAAGAATTTGATTATAATGTTTAAGAAATTAAAGAAATTTTTAAGAAATTTTTTTTTTTGATTTCTAGTATTAATAGCGAATTTAACTAACACCTTAACCCTCTGTTTATTACGAACGACCATTATCGTCAGAAATCGTCAGATTGGGCGCTTTTTGGGAACTATAGAATTTACTTTCTCTGGCGATAGTGTGACGGCAGAGGGTAAACTTTGAATTCAAAATAAGGATACGATTCACTACATACGAATAATCAATCAAGTTGTTTTTGTTACCAGATAAAAAAGACGAGCGTTTCCTCCACCACCCCCATATTATTTAATAAATAATACAAAATCTCCATAACAAATCCATCAAATTGTAAACCTTTTTTTTATAAATCACCCAAAATGGATAATGAACATAATTCGAAATGAATTAGGTTCAGTCCAATTTGTCCGTGAAGCGATTGAGTGAATATATTGTATATACATACACCTTGTTGGAAACGTCAACTTCTCACAAATCACTACCCGCATGTTACTGCTCATACTGGCTCTTTGTTGTTTAGAAAAAGAATAGCAAAAGTTGAAACAGAAAGTCACCCGGTGAGTTGAGAATGAGTATATAGGTCCTTCGAAGAGTGAACACAGTGTGTTTTTAAAAGAGAGAACAAGAGAACAAAATCTCGGCACGCGAGTGCCCACTGGCCCAAGTACCCGCGTCAGATTGCGTGTTGTGCATTACGTATGGCCAAGTGGTTACTTGGGTTCTCAAGGACGTGTATTACTTGTATGTACTCTAAATATGTATTCCGAGCACGCGTGATTGGTTGGCCATACACAGTACCGCTACTCTATGCAACTCAAAACGAATTTCGTTGAATTCTGACATTATAGGAAGGAGCACCTATTCCACCGCCGCGCCGGTCGATGGCAATCATGCTCCGATTTGCATTTGCATTTAATAGTGCAGCGATTACATCTAAATTCAGACATTAACCACCTGGCGACCTTGAAAAACGTTATTTTCGATCCCTTGTGTTATACGTGTTATTAATCATATCCACGGGGAAAATAAAGTCTTTGATAAACTCTCAGACCGTTTATACATCTTGAAACTAGAATGATTGAAAATTAACCTAATATTTTTAAGCTGAAAACTATGATCAATTTTGGAATTTAAAATCATACATCATTCAAGGGTCGAATTCAGTCAAAAATGGGTCGAATGTAAGCGGTTTTTAACCAAAGTGGGTTAAAAGAAAAATTTATAGGTATGTTTCGATTAACAGCTAAAGCAATGTTTTAAAATTCTTCTTTATAGTCCACAAGATTCACGGTAGAAAATCGCAGCTAAGTAAAAAGTAAAAATCGCAATTACTTATTGATAATCGTGAATTTATGATAATTTTATAGAATTTAAACAAAGAAAACTGAAAAATAACGAATTTTTGACATTTAGACATACCTAGAGCCTAAACTACTAAATGGATTTGCAAGACAGAAGATACTCTGGAATATTATTAAATGCGGGTTAAAATCTCGATATATACATTTCAGGAAATTTCAAAACATTAAGTATTTTTTTGAAAAATTTGAATTTTTTCCAAAAAAATGGATTTTTTATTTTTACATTTAGACAAACGTAGAGTCTAAACAATTAAACGGATTTGTTAAATATTCTGAAATATTATTAATTGGGTTAAAATCTCGATATACATTTCAGGAAATTTCAAAACATTTAATATTTTTTTAAAAACTTAGAATTTTTTCCAAAAAAATGGATTTTTTACATTTAGACAAACGTAGAGCCTAAACAATTAAACGGATTTTGTTAAATAGTCTGGAATATTATTAATTGAGGTTAAAATCTCGATATATATTTTTGGAAACTTCAATGCCACGCTTTTTCTCTTTTCAAATTCCCTGCGACTTTTCCAAGTTAAAAAACAATACTTTTCCTGGTTTTTAAAACGAAAATTATTCGAAAACATCAATAACTTCATTTTTAAATATTTATTATAGTCATAATTTTTCTTAAAGAAATTAAGATATTTAAAAATTTGAAATTCAATAACATTTAATAATTAAAACTTGCAACTTTGTTACTGTAACTTCTTGAAAAATTATATTTTCATCATTATACGATCATTCATTTCTAGAATTTTCAACTAAAATTCTTCTTGACGTGAATTTATTTAAAATAATTTTTGAAAAAGTTTTTTTGTGAATTTTCAAATTCTTTTGTTTACAATTTAATTTTACGAAATTTCGATTATTCAGACATTTTTCAATTAAATATAGGTATTAGAAATTAAAAACTTCAAATTATTTAAAAAAAAATTCAATTAAACTTATTGAGAAAAATTAATTCCATAGAATTCTTAATTAAAAGAATGAAAAGTTCAAATTTTCAAAGATTTTAATTTGAAATTTATTTTTAAATCAATATTTATTAGAAAATTTTACAAAAATTTAATTATTTAAATACAACAATAAATATTTTATTAAATAATCGAATGTTTGAGTAGAAATTTATCAACACTTTTCTTTAAAATAATTGAATTTTTTTGGAAAATTTTAATAAAATTGTAGAAATTGAAAATCATTTTAATTTAAATGTTAAAGTAAATAATTTATTGAATAATTGAATGTCTCTCAAAATTCAATTCTCATAAAGAATTTTATACACAAATTTTTAAATAATTGAATTCATTTGTCGAATTTTATTAAAATTTTTTAAGAATAATTTCAATTTTCGAGAAATAATATTAAAATTAAATTAAAAATAATTGAAAATAAAAAAATCGATTAAATTGAGAATAATTTTTGAAAATAATTGAATTTTATAAAGAAGAATTTTATTATTTATAACAATAATTTAAATTTTGACGAGAATTTTTGAATTATTCTTTGAAAATAACTGAATACTTGCGAGACGAATTTTATGAAAATTTCTCTTTGAATAATTGAATTTTTTTGTGAAATTTTATTGAAATAGTAGATATTTAAAATAATTGAAAATAATTGAATAATTGAATTTTTATTAGAAAATTTTTTATAACAATTCAATTATTTGAATACAAAAATAAATTATTTATTTTAAAATTAAATGTTTCTTAAAATTGAATTCTCATAGAGAATTTTAAACACAAATTTTTAAATAATTGAATTCTTTGGACGAATTTTAATAAAAAATTTTCAGAATAATAATTGCATTTTTTCGAGAAATTTGATGAAAATTGTATTAAAAATAATTGAAATTCTGCCAAGAATTTTATTAAAACTTTTGAAAATATAATTGAATTTCAGGAGAAAAATTTTATTATTTATAAAGATAATTGTAATTTTGACGAGAATTTTTGTAAATTTTTAAACATAATTCAATTTCTGTGAAGAATTTTGTGAAAATTGTTTTGCAAAAAAATCGAATTATTAAGAATTTCATTAAATTTTTTAAAAATAATTTTATTCTTTAAAGAAATTTAATTTTAAAAAATTCATTGAAAATAATACTTAAATTCTAATAAATAAATTGTAGTAAAAATTATAAAAATAATTGAATTTCTTCGATAAATTTTAATAAAATTTTGAAGAATAATGAACTTTTATCGAGGAATTCCATTAAAATTGGATATTATAAAAATAATTGAAATTCAGCATCGAGATTTATTATTTATAAAAATAATTGAATCCCTGTTAAAAAAAATGTTCTTATTCATGAAAATAGTTGAATAATATATGAAAATAATTTTTGTGAAATTTTTACTAAATTTGTGGAAATAATTAAATATTTGCCTAAAATTTTATTTTATTAATTTAAATTAAATTTAAATTTAAATTTAATTTTAATTTAATTTTATTTTTTTAAACTAATTGAATTCTTTTTGGAATTTTTATTAAAGTAGTAGATATTAAAAATCATTGAATTGAGGAAAGTTTTTGAAAATAATTAAAATTTTGTCAAGAATTAAAAATTTAGTTATAAATGTCACTTGATAAACTTTTATTTCACTAATTGTTTGGACATTTGCAAAAACTTTTACTTGGCGGAACTTTTTGCATGAAAGATGTTTTTTTGAGATATTTATTGTAAATTTTTATTTATTTTGGATTTTATTGATCATAATTGTTGCGCAATTTTTCAAAGGATATCAAATTGAGACAAAAAAGGAATCAAAAATGTTGCTTTGTAACATTTTTGATTCGTTTTTGTTTCAATTTGCTATCCTTAGAAAAACTGTATTTAATAAATTGTAAATTATCTATAAAGTTATCAATAAATTTTTAATTTTAATATAATAATAATAATAATATAATTAATAAATAAATTAATAAATAAATTAATAAATAATTAATAATTAACAATAATATATTATAATAATATAATTTTTAATTTTTATAATTTTTATCAATAAATTTAGTTAATAAATTTTAGTTAAATTATAAATAAATATATCCTTTAATATACAAACAGACAATAAAAGAAAAGAAACACTGAAAAATAAAAAATAAAAATTTGACTTACTGTGTGCGTAATGAGCGGCTGCTGGGTGATGGGGGGTTGGTCCATGGGGGTAGTAACTCCTGTAATCGGGACTGCCAACAACCCCTGTGACTCCAGTTGGTCCTCCTGCCCCCGAGGGTGGATCGAGGCTCCTCGGCTGCTCATACCACGACCTCGGCGCACTCGATTCGCTACTCATGTCCATTATGTCGAGAATTTTTGCGGTTTTTTTTTTAAATGACACCACGCGCGATATTTTTCGCGGTAACAAATTTTAAGAAAGAGATAGATAGAAAGAGAGAGGAGGGGGGGTAGAGAAAGAGAAAGCAAAGAGAAGAAAATAAAAGTCGAGGCCAATCAAAAATGGGGGGGGGTGAGAAAATATAGACTAAATTTTATCACTCGATGTGGCGCTTCTCTTTGTGCCTCGTCACCTCTATTCGATAGAGTGACATAGGGTACTTCTTTCTTAATCCCTGTTCCTCTGGATTATCTCCTCTTCACTCTGCAAACAAAAGGAAATAAATAATTTTATTAAAATTTATTAATTTATTAAAAATGGCAACAAATAATTTTATTAAAATTTATTAATTTATTAAAAACGAAAACGAAAAATAATGAGACAATATTTAAAAAAAAACGTTGCGGACCAAGTTTTTATAAGTGCAATTTTATAAATTTTTTTTATGATAAAGTGCTTCTTATTTGACTATAATATTGTAGGTTTCGACTCAAAATGAATCGGATCTAGTTCATTTTGATAAATTTTGTATATTAAAAAAATTAAAATATAACAAGCATATCACTTAAAGTATAAAGCAAATATGAATCTAAAATTATGTTTTTTTTTGTTAATAAACTTGAGCAGTTAATTTGGAAGTTGCTGCTGCGGCAAAACAGGTTACAATTATTTTAAAGAAACTGGATGGACGGGAATTTTATTTGAATAAATAAATAAACAAATATATATGTGTATACATTATATAGGGCGGAGAAAATCTTCTTAAATGAAATTAAGACCTCTTGTGCCCAAGAAGATCGGATGCCATCAGAGTATATCGATAGAAAGACTTACGACTAAATGGCCGGATAGAATTTCCAAGGAGCAAGTCTTTTATACTCGGAAGATATTATACCGCAATGTACCAATTACACAGCGTATTATTTTTAATTGACACGCGGTGTTAAGTCATGGGTTTCATTACACTCTTCCTTTGCTTGTTTCACAAAAAATAATTTTCAAATTTCTTCAAGTGAATTTTATTTATCAAATAATTTCTATACATGAAAAATATGGAAAGACATATTTTCTTTTTCTAAAATTTAGTTATATAGAAAATTTTTTAAATCTTTTAATTAAAACTGGTTTCTTATTATACGGTTCTTTATAACAACTAATAAATAATTCAGGGTTGCCACATATCAGAGAAATCAGGGAAATTAGAATTATAGTCAGGGAAATCAGGAAAAAGGCAGGAATTTTTTTTAAAAATACTGGAAAAAATTAAATTTTTAGAATTTATAAGAAAATTCGGAATTTTTGTGTCATTTTTGTTTGCCTTAGAAACTATGAAATTGACAAGAATTCTAATACAAAACTTTCCATTTTGTTCTATTTTTGACAAAAATTTCTTTTTAAATAAATTTAATTCTTGACGAACTCTCATAAAATTATTATTACTTATAAACTATTTAATAAATGATTTTACTTCAAAATTTCAAAACAGATTGAATTTCAAAAGAGTTTCGTTTACAAACTTCAAAAAAAGATGAACTTTAAAGGTTTTAATTTAAAATTTTAGAAAATTTCAATTTTTAATAAATTTAAATAGAAATTTTAAGAACAGGATTACAGAAATTCAATAATTTTCAAAAGTGATAAACTCCTTCGCATAAATTCAATTATGTTCAAAAATTTTTTTAAATTCTCGTCAAAATTTCAATTATTTTTATAAATAATAAAATTCTTCTCCGAAATTATAAATATTTTCAAAAAATTTAATAAAATTCTTGACAAAATTTCAATCATTTATACAAAATTTTCCAGATTTCAATTATTTTTAATATCTATTTTAATCAAATTTTCCAAAAGAATTCAATTATTTAAACAAAATTTTGATAAAAATTTCACAGGAATTTAATTACTTATAAATTTCTTCGCACCAATTCAATTATTTTTGATTTTTTAATGAAGTTTCTCGAAAGAATTCAAATATATTCAGAGAATTGAAAAAAAATAGTTCTGAGAAATTCAATTATTTCGAAAAATTAAAATAAAATTCTATTATTATTATATTTAAAAAAATTTTGATAAAATGCTGTATAAATTTGAAAAATTATAATAAAATTGATCATAGAATACAATTATTTTCGTAAAAAATAACATTCTTCCTAGGAATACAATTATTATTGTCAAAAATGTTTGTAAAAATCTTCGAAACAATTCAATTATTTTCGTAAAAAATAAAATTATTCGAAGCAATTCAATTATTTGAGAAATTTCAATGAAATTCTTCCGAAGAATTCAATTCTTTTTAATAATAAAATTTTTCACCGGAATTCAATAATTGAAAAAAAATTCAATAAAATTCTTCATCAGATTGCAATTATTTTCAATTTTTTAATGAAATTTCTCGATAAAATTTCATTATTTTCAAAAAGTTTAAAACAAAATTTTTTAATTCTGAGAAATTTAATTATTTAAAAAAATTCTGAATAAAATTCTTCACAAGAAATTAATTATTTTCATAAATAATAATATTTTTCTCCGGAATTCAATTATTTTTACAAATAAAATTCTTCACAGGAATTCAATTCTTTAAAAAATTTTTTTTTAATAAAATTCGTTACAAGAATTCAATTATTTTCATAAATAACAAAACTTATCGCAGAATTTCAATTATTTTTTATACAATTTTACAGGGAATTGCTCAAAAAATATAAGTATTCTTAAAAATTAAATTTCAATTCGTCGAAAAAATCAATTATTTACAAAAATATTAGAATTTTTCAAAGGAATTCAATTATTTTTAAATGTTTTAGTAAAAGTGACGGAAGAAATCAATTATTTTAAATACAATTTTAATTCAACTTTTTTAAATAATTCAATTATTCTTTTAGATTTTAATAAAATTCTTCCCAAGAATTCAATTTATTTCAAATAAAATTTTTCACAAGAATTCAATTATTTAAAAAAAAAATTTAATAAAATTCTTCGTCAGGTTTCATAATTTTCTTCAAATTTTTAATGAAATTTCTCGATAGAATTTCATTATTTTCAGAAAGTTTAAAAAAATTCTGAGAAATTCAATTTTTTGAAAAAATTTTAAAATAAAATTCTTCACAAGAAATTAATTAATTTCATAAATAATAATATGTTTTAATTATTTTCATAATTAAAAATACTTATCGCAGAATTTCAATTATTTTTTATAAAATTTTAAATAAAATGATAGAAAATTGCATTTATTCTTGAATTTTTTTTTAACATCACTGAAAGAATTCAAATATTTTTTAAAATTTTTTTATAAAATTCTTCATAAAAATTCAATTAAAAAAAAATATTCAATTATTTAATAAATTACTTTTTTTTATTAAAATAATTGAATTCTCGAAAAATTTTCTATTAAAAATTGATTAAAAAATGAATTTCACTTAAAATTTTAAATTATAATTGAAAATTATTAAAAGCATTATTAACGTGAATTTTTTGAAATAATTGAATTTTGAATATAGGGTTCAAATTAAAATCTTTGAAAATTTAAATTTATTGTTACTTATGATATAAAATAATGATTTATATCATGTTTCATAATAATATTCTCGTAAGTTATTGAATTTCAGAATGTTTGTTTTGTAAATTGGTATAAAATTTAAAAAAAAAATAGTTTTGATTGTATTTAGGAATCTCTTTCAGTGGAAAACTTATAATATCCTATAAGAATAAGTATTAGTTGCAAAAGGCTATAATAAACTTACAATAAAAGATGCAATGATAAAAATCCAATCGAGTATGATCTTTCCTGATCGCGACTTGATCTACACTTTAGTTAGGGAACACTGGAAATAAATGATTTTGTGTAACCGCGTCCGAAATTATTTATCAACAAACGCGTGATCAAACAAGGTTATCGATAACGATATCACATCAAATTCCTCGACCACAAGTGACTTAAAATTTTGGGGAAAAAAATTCTACTTAAGAATACATGTATAAATTTATAAAAAATATTATACGGTCCTAAAAAGATATTATTTTCTAAATACGTTTTTTAAAATTTAACCCATAATTAGCCAAACTAAAATAAAATATTATAAAATATTATTAATATTAATAACCCATTTCTACATTCATTATAAATTATCAAATTTCCTTTTCTCGAAGAAAAATATATTTCAAAATAATACTTCGAAAATTTTTAATAAACTAAAAATTAAATTTTTCGTATAAGCATGAAATATATTAAAAAGAGTCAAAAACAATACTCGATAAGATATTGTCCAAAAAAAAGTGATAAAATAATGGATAAGATTTGAATCGAAAATTCGACAGACGAACGTGATTAAATCTAATTAAAGGTATGATGAAAGAAGGTTATTTTTTACAGAGAAGAAAAGAATCTTTATCGTAATATATTTCAAGAAAAAAATGTATTATATAAGTTCCATACTATTATAAAGAAGAAGAAAAAAAAAGAAAAGAAAAAGTTGAAGATAGTAGAACATATGCATTATCGGTAAAGTTGTCATACAACAGTGTTGGAAACTAATGAATAGTGAACATTATTTGATTTAACAAAATAACAGAGAGTTGTAGCAAATTACGCGCAGGTAGCAATCGCTATCTTATAATTAATTTATTCAGATAAGTTAAACTTATAATATTGTGTTTGAAATTTTAAGTTGAATTTTTAATATTCAATTCAAATATTCAAATAATAATTAATAATACTAAAATATATTGAATAGCCGTAAGAATTTATTACTTAATTAAACAAACAATTGAAAAAAATCACAATCGACTTGGTAATAAACACATCCATCAAATTATATCATCGAATCAAAATCCCCGCAGTTTTATTGATCAATGAAATTATAAGTTTCGTCGAATCATTATAAATTATCAGTAATACCGTCATTGACCAATTATTTGGAAAGTTTAACCAAATATATTTGGAAAATCTCGAAACAATTTTTTAAGTTTTAAAGATTTTTAAGTTTTTTAAGCTTTTTAAGTTTTAAAGTTTTCTTTTAAGTTTTTTAAGTTTTTTAAGTTTTAAAGAGTAAACATGAATTCATTTTTAGTCTTTAAAGCTAAAAATGAAAATTGAATTACACCAGAAAGGAACCAAAAAAAATGTATATTGTGAATTACATACACCTTTAAATTTCAATTTTGTTATTTTCAAACCTTTGAATTTAGTCTAACAAAAAAATATTTTTTTTTATTTTTCCATACTTGTTAGAAGTGTATTAATGTAGAAGCTTGATTTTAAAAAAGATGTT